ACAACATGAAAGAAAGCCATTATAACATGCACATGAAAAATGTAGAAACATTGGACACAACTATGGGGCACCATTGTGCAGCAGCAAGCATCACAACAAACCCTTAAGGTTGATCTAGGAAAATGTGTGCAAATGTATAGGGCCCCATTCCTATATTTTGTCTAGGGCCCCCAATTCACTAAATCCGCCCCTGCTCTGAATACTCTGTTAGTACACTGAATTACCGGCAGTGTATTGACACTCACCCCCACACACTCCCAGAGATGCACATACAGGAAACTGTACCACTGTGAGCTTGTCATCTTAAAACAGAACAACTCACTAAGAAATATGCGTGAAAATGCTGCAAAACCTGACATCTGACAACCTAACTCTCCTCATCAATTTAATCTTCATGTTCTCCCCTGGTAGGTTGTTGTTGTTAAATTATATATTTTCTTAAATGTCACGTGTCTGATTATAGACAAATGTTCTTCTTAGTCAATTATTAGTAAACCAAATAAAAAATCTTTTGCATGGTCTTTGGCCAAAATGTGTAAAAAATGGTCAAAAATGTGTAACAGAAACTTACACCTTTTTTCAGATTTTTACGGATAGTTTGTTTATAAACAAATTTGTTTGCTTGCAAGTAGAAATCAATCACATTTCATTGCATTTCCTATGGTTTTATATAAATTATGTATTTACTATGTATTTCTCTCATGTAAGATCCGTTCTTTTGAGAAAAAAATAAACAACGTTTTAATATATCACAGTCGTTTTCCCACGATTGTGTTCAATCAAATCATGTCATTAGAATATAAAGGTCAAGGTGACTGTGTGCTTGAAACTCAAAATACAGCAGCATTTTCTCACTGTATTACTGATACTTTTGATCAAACTTTTTTTATACCACTTTATTTTTTTAGGTAAATGTGTATCTTCATGCATCAACACAGCTGTGGGTGATACAGTTATTATTCCATTTGAAGGTGCAAAATTACTAGCAGACAATGAACTGAGATGGACACATAATACAAGGAGAGTTTATCTTAAAAAAGGCTCACAAGTTAAGCTCAGCGAGTTCAGTGTTACCCAACATGGATCCCTGATGCTGGAGAACGTACAGAAAGACAATTCTGGGGAGTACAAGGGCATCGTCTATAATGCAGAAGGAACCTTAATAAAGGAAACTGTACAACAGTTCTGTGTACTGGGTGTGTACTAGCTTGTGTTCTGTTGCTATTCAAACCTGCATTCTGGTCAAATGTCATTTCTCTCCTCTCTATTTGCCCCTCAAAGTCATGCAAGACCAAGTGTGTTTTAGCAATAAGACTTGCTGTTGTTGTGTGCATTTCAGAGCCAGTGCCTGATCCTACAGTTTTGGTCGAGTGCATAGAAAAAGGAGTAAATCTGACTTGTAGTGCAGTGAACAACAATGCAGTTGTTGTGTCCTGGATGAAAAATGGCATGAAGGCTAATGCGACACATGCTGTTTTACACGTCAGCTCATCTGAGCTCAAATCTGGAGATAATTTTTCATGCACAGTCAGCAACATGATAAGCCACAAGTCAGCAAAAGAAGTTGAGCCAGTGTGCTCTGACACAGGTCCAGTTTATCAAAATAATTTGTCATATATATTCTCCAACATTGGTTTTTATGAAAAACTTGACTCTTAAATTTTTTTTATAACTCATTTAAAGGTCTACATACAACAATTGCCAATAAAGACAAAGGAAAAGAAGTGAACAACAACAGTGGAAATAAAAATACAAATGGTAATTGTTTGTTTCACTAGATCATGTTTCCTACCATAGAGTTGACATCATGAAGCTCCTTTTATTAACCTTGAATGTTTGTCATATAAAATTATATCAATTTGTTGCGAAGATCTGTTTACTGTACATTATCCATTTATGTTATACTGTAGAAAGTGAAATCATGTTTTTGCATCAGTTTGCATTTGCTGAAATGATAAATAATGGTGATGAAAATGTTAATTATTTACTTTGTAAATTTCTAGGCTTAGATATTTGGTGGATGCTGGTGATCCTGACAGGGGGAGGAAGTTTCCTCCTCATACTCTTCATCATCTGCCTAGTCTGTGTCTGCTGCTGCAGCAGACGAAACAAGAGGAAAGCAAAAGGTGTGTTTCCAATTAACTATTTTGTATTCACACTTAGAACAGGTGAGATCATCTATTTGCTGGTGTTATTGAGGTAATAATGTCAATCAGTGTGGGTGTGTTTCACAATGACACAAATAAGAATAGAAGAGGCAAAAATGCTAAATTGAAAAAAAAATATATATATATACAGTATATATAAAATCTTTATTGGAATATTCTCAAATTCTGAAATATTCTGAAAATTCTCGTCAATTCTCAGTAATTCGAAACCAATTAATTATCTCTCTGTTGGGCAGAGGAAGAAGAGTACCGGCTTACATCTCTAATGCCAGATCACACAAATCAGCCTGAGGAGCAGTACATGCAGCAAACCACATTGCAGAGGCCTTCCAAAAGCCAGCGTCCTCTTCCACCCTTACCCAGCCCCCAAGGTCCTCCTTGTGTTGCACCCCCATAAGAGAACAACCTAGACTTCAAGAGACATTGAGACTAATACCAGGACACAAAGGGACTACCAATGAAAACTAGCCGTTGAGCTAATTTGGGTACATTTGTCCCTTTTTTTGGAACTAAATAAATAAATAAACAATGCTGAATGTAATATTGTATATAGAATTGATCATATACACTATTGGTCACAAAAGTTAGGAATAATTAAGTAATAATTAAATAATAAAAATAATAAATAAAATAATATATTTTTGAGTCTCTTAAGCTTACCAACGCTGCAGACCAAAAAAAATTATTTTTACTAAATTATTAATAATTGATCACCAGCACTAATAACTGAGCATCAAATCATCATATTAGAATGATTTCTGAAAGATCATGTGACACTGAAGACTTGAGTAATGATGCTGAAAATTCAGCTTTTATCACAGGAATAAATTAAAAAATGTAAAAATATATTCAAGTAGAAAACAGTTTTTTTATTTTAATATTAATATTAGAATATTACTGTTTTTACTGTATTCTTGATCAAATAAATGCAGCCTTGATGAGCCTATTGATGATAAGCCACTTTTTTCAAAAACAAACAAACAAAAAAAATCTTAATCATTCCAAACTCTTGAACGGTATGTATGTAAAAGATTTAGACGCATCTGCCCATGTTTTTTATTTGAACTATTTTGAACATTTTATAATAATTGTATAGTCATCAATAAAGCAGCACAAATGGATGCTGTTTTTTATTTATTTATTTTTTGGTTAAGTATCCATACTTTTTCTCATGCTTTTACATAGTATGCTGGATGTTTAATGACTGCTAATTTTTTGCTATTGGATTAAACACCACTGAACTCTCTCTCTCTCTCTCTCTCTCTCTCATATATATTATATTATATATACATATATAACATGTTTAGCACTTCAACTTAAGTTCAATGATTCCTTTGTAAATAGTAATCATTCCACTGAATCTAGGTCAGTTCCGTAGAGTATATGCAGTTCTACACGACTTGTACTTGCACCTTTCCTGTTTTAACTGACGTTATTGAATTCTGGTTGCGAGACGTGCTCCAGAAAAAAAAAAAATATTACATAGATTTCTCACACACAGTCACTCAGTCCATTAGAATCATGACACCTGACTTACTACACACTTACTCTTCAATAGCCTCAAAAAGCACATAACTGAACAAAACAAAATTTAAGTTAGCAAAGTTATTTAAAAGGTACATTTTATATTCATGAGACAGATTTATGAAAAAAATTGTGACCATAAGTCTTTAATTGTAGCCAGCGCAATGACTCCCACCATTCAAATAACAAGTAAACATTTAAAGTTAAACCAAAGCATGAGTTGCACTGAGGTTTCCCGCATGTGGTGAATGTAAACGTAATTCTGACATTTGGTTTGAATGTGTGAATATGTTGGTATTTGTGTTTGCATCATGATCTGCCTACCTTATTGAGAATATTTGAACTTGCCATTTTGAGCTACACATACAAAGTGAACAATCAACTTACTACACACTTTATTGCATAAATCTTGCATCCACATGAAAAGTATATGGAACATGATGGTTATGTTATTTCCACACACTTTCAAAATGAGTAAAACGATCTTATGAATATACAATTTGTTGAGTGTTTGTATGTTTCTTATTTGCGTTTGAAGATTTTTTTTATCTAAATAACTCATAATAATAGTATAGCTAATAAGAATAATGAAATTAATTAGTGAATTAGAAATTAGTGAAATTAATCAAATGTAAAAATAACACACTGCATAGTCTTCAGTTTGGTCCTCTTCTTCTTTGTGCACGTTCTCCTCCTGCTTCAGGTCTTCCTCTGCCTCTGCCTCTGCCTCTGCCGCCGCCTCTGCCGCCGCCTCTGCCGCCGCCTCTGCCGCCGCCGCCTCCTCCTGTTGGAAAAGTTTAATTTTAGTGTGTAAGCAATCGTAAAAAACTGTAAAGTTAGTAAAGTTACTCAGTGAAGAGCAGTGAATGATTCTCTTGTTTTCTTTCATTGTTTGAGTAGCCTAACATTAAATGACAAACACAGCAGCAGGTTTAAGACTTGAATGAACTGAATGTGTTTAAGTGAAATCTCATGAGTGTGATATTTTGAAATATTTTTGTGTGTATTTGTCCATTTATGCAGCCAAAGTAGCCTATGCTATACTTGTCTGTGTTTCAATATCCTTGCAATATGCAGACTGTATATTATGAAACATTGGCACCTTACATGATTTGACTGAGAGCAAGGGGGCCCCCGGTGGTTCAGGGGCCCTACGCAACTTGCGTACTTTATGTAGGGAGGCATTAAACAAAATGTCACTTAGCATTACATTTACCTCAAGCAAGTCATTTAGTGTTTATACAGCACATTTGTTTGCTAGAGGAATGTCTAGAGAAGAACACTTAGCTAAATATCAGTCTATTTATTATATTTTACTTAACCTGTTAGTGCTGTCTTAAATATTTATGTTTAAATAAATCTGTCATGAAAACTTGAAAAGTTATGACAGCCACTGTGTAAATGATTATATTTCAACAACAAGTGTAATTTACATGTTTGTGTACTTTTTTGAGTGTTGATTATTATATCTAAACATGAATAGCAATTAAATTTTAAAGTTGTTAATTGTAACCTTAAATATCATAGTAAGGTGCAAGTAATAGGGGCTCCCTAAGGTTTACAACATTAGCTGAGGTTGAATTTTTATCCTTAAGTAAATGTATATTATAAATGAATTTTTTGAATTTTATGTTTAGTATACATAATATTTAAATTTTAATTATATATGTAAAAGGATTTAAAATGTTCTAATATTTTATAAAAAATAAAA